GGACAGGCGTCTCCAAATGGCGGACACTGTCTCTGAAGCATCGAGCCGAGCTTGCCTTTGTTCAGCTTGAGAACGAGAGATCTCTGACATCTCTTCGTGACGAGCTAAGGGGCAGCTCGTGGGATTGTTGATCGGTCTCGGGGTGAGATAAATGCTCTCCAGACCCTTGTCGATGCCCATCATCGGGGGCACAAGGCTCTCTGCTGAGATGCTTGAGCGCAAGGGCGTTCTTCATCGTAAGAAGCAACGTACTGATGGTACGGCTTAGCCGACCAACGTAAAACGTGGGATGCGTTCGCATCTTACGTGGTAACTCGATCGTGTATGCATTGCCTAGGCGGTGCAATACACAAAATAGGCCAATGTACTTGGGTAGTAGTTTACTGCTACCCAAGTTAGTCACTACATGCTTTGGTAGATTAACCGTAGACAGTAGGACTAAGTCACCTTTATTAAATAAAAGAGTGTTTGCCCCTTCCTATTCTTGTCAGCGTTTTGCTTTTGCTTATCCACCGCTTCGGCGATGGAGTCTTGCTCAAAACGGACTACCGTTTCACGAGCCAGTATGAACTCATCTGATGACTCGTTAGCTTCAGTGTGCTGTGAGCGCACTGCAGCAACATCAATCTTTTCTTCAGTGAGGGCTTCCGCACTCTCACTGGGATCATCTTCTTCAGTGAGGCTTCCCGCACTCTTACTGGCATCATCTTCTTCGATATCGATGTTATCGATATCGGCATCAAACGCAATGACTTCTTCGTCAGAGCGTGATGAGCGTGAACCAAATTGGCTTTTGCTCGCGCGAGTCCCTCCCCCCTTCAAACCAGAGTTACACTCTAGTAAGGTGGGTACATGCGGATGGCGTAAGCCATTCACGTAAAACGGTGTATGTGTCGTGGACGCATGCACCGAGTTCTTGATGGCAAACTCTACCATTGGCAAAAACTCACCCCAACTCTTAAAGGAGTGTACGTATCCTCGAAGTATCTCTTCAGGGACACGATTGGCACGTTCCGTCTGACCATCTGACTCTGAATGATCAGATGTCGACATCTTCAAGCGCGTTCCGAGTGATTTGAACACGGAACGCCAGAAATCAGCAGTGAATCGTGGATCTCTGTCTGATACGAGTTCACGGGGCAACCCATGAAGTCGGAAGATGGTGTCAATAAAGACACAAGCACAGCCACTTGCTGTGATTGACTCGGGTACAGCCACAAGGTGTACCATTTTGCTGAATCTGTCAACAAATACGAGAATACCCGTATTCCCGCGTGCGTCTTTGGGTAACCTGAAGACGAAATACATTGAGATGGATTCCCAACACTCAGCCGGAACCGGTAGAGGCTGTAAAGGTGCACGCAGTGAAGGAATTGACTTCACTCGTTGGCAGACTTCGCATGCGCGAACATACTTTCGCACAAACTGATACTGGCGGGGCCAGCAAAAGTCTCGACTCACCGTAAGATATGTTTTCCCCCGGCCACGACGTCCCTCCTCTATAGGAGCATCGTGATACTCGAACGTGATCCACAGACGCAGATCAATATCATCTGGAATGACAACACGTGGTGTGTCACCAGAAACGGCTGCATAGTACAGTAAACCGTTACAAGTAGTGTATCGATCTGATGCAGATCGATACGCAGACGAAAATCGTTTCAACGATTCTCGAGATGGTTGGGAGAGATGTGACAACAACTTCACAATCTCACCATCTTGGGCATACGCCCTCCCTCATATCATCATACAACGTTGAAGATGGTATTAAGGGACGTCGTAACCGCAACAGTGACTGTCTCACTGTTGGGTTTCGCGACTGTTTCAAAGTCGGGACGACGTGAGAGTGCATCAGCGACGACGTTAAGTCGTCCTGGTTTGTATTTGACCGTAAAGTTGTATTCTGCAAAGAATGACAACCACCGCGCCATTCGTTGTGAAAGGTGCGGGCTGTTTACTGCCGTGCATAACGACGCATGGTCAGAGTAAACAATGAAGGGTCTTTCTTCTAATAGATAGACTCTGAACTTCGCGAGTGCATACTTCATGGCAAGGAGTTCCTTGTCGTGCACTGGATAGTTCCGCTCAGCTGGTTGCAGCTGACGCGACTGATAGCAGACGACGCGTTCAACGCCTTCAAGGTCGTACTGCATTAATGCACAGCCGACTGCGAAATCGCTGGCATCACAGACCACCTGAATTGGCCTGCCCTGATCGGCAATTGCTAGGACTGGGGATTGTATCAAGATCTGCTTGATACCATCAAAGGATCGCTGACATTCAGCGTTTCATAACCACCTCTCGTTCTTTTTCAACAAACGAGAGAAGTGTACAGTCATGTCGGCGTAATTGCGTGAGTACTTATGCAAATACGCCGCTAGCCCAAGGAATTTTCGAAGACCTTTGAAATCAACTGGCACAGGCCAGTCGGTGATCGCCTTGATCTTTTCGGGATCAGGACGTCCACCGTTCTTACCAACGATGCACCCAAGAAGTAGTATTTCGCTTGCTGCAAATATACACTTCTTGAGATTGGCAGACAATTGATGCTTTCGCGTGATTGTAAGAACCTGTCGGACGTGGTATCTGTGAACCTCAACGTCCGACTTTCCATCCATAGCCCGAATATGGATGAATACGTCATCGAAATAACTCGACGCGAATTCTCGTACTGGTCTCAACGGATGTGATACACATCTATTGAACGTGGCAGGGGCATTACTAAGCCCTTGTGGCATTACAAGGCATTCCCAGAGCATGCCGATAGGCGTGCTAACTGCGGTATAGGGTATGTCCCGTTCACGCATGAGGATTTGATAGAAGCAATCCATAAGATCCATGGACGAATAGATGGTACTCTTTGACATACCATCAATGATTACGTCCTTCATTGGTATCGGCGTCTGAGCCGGTACCGTTGCAGCATTCAACTTGTTAAATGCATGCACAATCCGCCACCCTCCTGTTGCTTTTCGCACACAGAAGGTCGGAGACCTACGTGGGGAAGTTGATTCCCTCACATGGCCCACAGCTAAACGATCAGCAAAGAACTTGTCGATCGCAAGTACTTGTTCACGAGAAAGTGGCCACTGCTTCCTGACACAGTACTTCGAGCCTGGTTTAAGCTCGACTTCGTGTCGAGTACCTTTATCCTTCGGTAACTCGCACGGAATAGTTTCAGGGAATACATCCTTATATTCACCATATCTTCAATGAGAGGATTTGTCTTAAGCAATTCCCACGATTAAGAGTCATATCACTCATCCCGTGTCTTTTTGTCGAGGACACTCTCGTCCATCGATGAACTACTGAAAACTATCTCGTTCTCAATAAATATTGTTGCAGACCTTATGTCGGCTACACACTCGTCGTCGGCGACAAGTACGCAGATCTGCTCGACTTTGCCACTACGCATATCACGCAAGAACCTTTTATGTTCGAGCGTTGGCAACTGAGTGATCTCCGAAGTCAACTTCGGAGGCGCAATCAGATCAAGTGTGTAAGCGCCTACACCTGATCCATCATTGGCTAGGACATTTAAGGTCTCTGTCATTTCCTTGGGACTTATTCCCTCAGGCCTCGAAGGACTTATTCCTTCGGCTTCCCGGGGACTTATTCCCTCGGGTTTCGGGGAACTTATTTCCGCCGTATTTGTAATCTTGGGACTTATTCCCTTTACTTCCTCTAGCTGTGGTTGCGCAACCACAGCGAGATCCTCTACGAAAGACTCTCCAGTCGATCTAGGATTATCGTTTCGCTTAACCTGAGCGATCGATGGTTTCTCTTCTAAAAGTTCCCCGCTAGGGATATTTCTTTGTCCCGGTCCACTCGACTTTTTCGAGTGGTGGACCTTCGGCGCAGCGTGTGTTTCCTTACAGCCGCCGGAAGCTTGCTCCAAAGTGTAACCGTTTGTTACACCAAGGTGTTGTGCAGTCATACTAACGACCGTACCACAAGTGAGACCATCGCACTCACTCGTAGTACATCCACAAGCTTATGGACGCTCCAAAACGTTCATCAGATGGCCATCTGATGAACAAGCGGCAGGCATCGTTACTGTTCGATGTTGCCAGTTAACCCGTGGTTCGTACCTTCTGAGCCACGTTAGACCAAGGATGACATCAAATTTGTCATCCAAATCCAATACGATAAAGTCATCATCATATTGGGTATCTTCTAGCGTATAGTGGATCTTCACTATACGCTTCATGACGGTTACGGATGCGCCTGTCGCAAGACGTACCGTCATCCTCGTAGGAGGTGTGTCACATTCACTGAATTTAAAGTGACCATCTTCTAGCGATTGGTGTCGCACAAAATTGTTGGACGCCCCACAATCGACTAGAGCTCGAAGGGACAACTTATTTTTCACTTCGAGTTTCAAGGTAATGAGTGAGATCTCATTACCTAGAGCAGCAACGCACAACGTTTGTGTGTTGGGAGCAACCTTCGTCAAGAGGCCTACAAATTCTCTTGACGTTGCTGGACCAGTAGGGTGCTCCGCACCTACTGATCCTGTCCGTTTTTTGACGGTCCATCCCGTTGTTGCGTCTTTGCACCAACAGCGGACCCTCGTCCCTGCCCCTTTCTCATAGGTGGACGGTCTTTACGCCCAGCGTCGCGAGACACTGGACGAGGGGCACTACAATCGTAAGCGTAGTGTCCTGTCTTTTGACATCTATTGCATTTCTGCAACTTCTTGTAGTCTGTAGAGCGAGCCTTCTCGCTCTCTACATAACAGAGTTCCATCGGCTCTGGACCTCCGCTGTCATATCGTCTCGGTTGATGATATGATGTCGAGCTGGCGCGAGCCTGTCTCAGACTGAATTCTTCCTGTTCCGCAATGGAAATGCTTGTTCTAGTGAATCCAGTTCAAGTCGGAACACGTGAGTTTTGACGGGACCATCCGCAAGACCCTGCATGAACACCGAAACCAACGTGTGTTCATCCACCGGATTGGAACTTATACAACTCGTGAGATGTCGTATATGTTGTGCGTAAGCGTGCACATCATGCTTACCTTTTTTGAGCTTCAAGAGCTCAATTCGAGCTCTGAACTCAGCTCTAGGCGGTTCAAACGTTTTTCTGAGCCGCGACTTGAAGACTTCCAACGACCCAAACGCATATAGGTCGTGCAACTTGAGCCCCAGTGCCCAAGTCTTGGCACGTCCTGCCAGATTTGACTGGGCGAATGCAGCTTGCATATCCCCGTCGTCGATGCGACGCGCCCTTCTGGCGTCGTCTAACTCGACAAACCATCTCAAGAGGGAGTCTTCTTCAACTCCCCTATACTTGGGGATGTCAATCTTCAAGGTCTCGGGTCGACGCGAGTGCATCGACCAACCAGCAGCAGCCTGCTGCTGCTGTCTCAACAGTTCAAACTGTTGAGCACCCTGTTCTCTCAACAACTCTGACTGTTGAGAACCTTGTTGGTGAAGCAAGGCTACTTTCTCGCGTTCAGCGTCAAGTTCATTTTGAATGAACTTGGCGATAGTAGCATGTTGGGCATCTCTATTGAGAGCCTCTAGCATGACGCGAACAGCATGGATGCCCATGGTTGAACCCATCCGTTCAACCGCATCCCATTCGACATCGATCAAATGGGAGTAGCCGTCACGCGTAGCGTGAAAGCTTTGATCATCTTCATCATCCAACATATTCATGTTAGATGTGATCGTGGTCCTTGGACGGACTACAAAGTGCTACCAGGTGTAACGGGGCACCCTGAAGCTTGTACTGGTGACAGTACAAGCTACTTATTCTGATGAAAGAATAAGGCGGTGCCTCGTAACTTCACGTACACTCGTACGTGCAGAGGAAGACGGTAAGGAGAAGCGAGTACTTGGTTAAAGTAAAAAGTAGAACTGACTTTATAATAGTTCATGTCTGTTAATAAACCACTGTTTATCTTCATCTAACTATGTCTAAACACAAATGAGTATATCAACTATCTGCTCACCACTCATTGCGTGCGTCTGTCGTTGCGCGTCTTCGTTGGTTGATATAATGGCCTATATCAACCAATTAGGAACTGCTCGTAAGTGCTGCGGAAAATTTGTCCTTATGACAATATTCCGAAAATATAACACTTACAGTTATATTCTATTAACAATTTTCTTATAAATTGTTATGTAACGGTTCGCCCCGTTACATACACTCTTTATCTATAAAGTACGGAACAGTGTTGCTTAGCTCGTTTAGATGCGTAAAGCGCGGTGCGGAACCGCCTTGGTCAAGAAGTCCGCGAATTGTTTTTCGGGCGATACGCATGTGAGACTTAAGCTAACGCTCTTCACATGATCATTCACGAAATGAGCACGCAGATTAATGTGTTTCGTGCGATGCGTGTAACCCAAGTTCGTCGCTATGTTAATTGCCGACTTGCTATCCATCATGATCTTTGTTGCACCAGATGATGGGAGTCCAAACTCTTCAACCAGATACCGAAGCCAAATCACCTCTTGCGTGGCCAAGGCCAGTGCCATATATTCAGCCTCTGGCGGTGATAGTGCCACCGAGGACTGACGCTTGCTTCGGTACACCACTGGACCATCTTGTTACAAGCTGGGCGAAGTGCCGACCTATACACGCGAAAATCAGCAAGTAGTGCGATGCTTAGTACGTGAAGAGAGTGGCGCGGGTGCTTGAAGTGAATTAGAAAAAATTGGTGGGTCCAGCAGTCGAAGCATTTTACTATCGAGAGACGAAACAGGCCGATCTCGAATGACGACTTTAATGCCAGCACAATTTTGAATCGATGGATATGAGAGTCACGTTCTCGAGAGCAACGTTTCCTTAGTCAAGCATGGACCATTCTCTGTACCAAGATCTCTCGTATTCGAGCTGCGATGCACGCTATCATATGGGGGAACAGCGAAGTGTGAAGAAAATACTGATCGTGATGCGCAAGCGGAACATTCTGGAGTTAGCTTGCCAGTGGTTAAGAATTGCTTCATGTTGACAGCGCAAATGCCAGCAGGGACGATAATGGAAGCGAATAACCTAGAGCGCGGTCAACAAACGGGTGTAAAGCTGTCAGCACAACCAATTGAGCCAGACGGTGATGACTCGAGGCTGTATCTATAGCCTGTTGCGATGGAAGGTCGACGATGCCTCCTGCTGAGACCAGGGATCTTGGCGCCGACGACCTGCAGCACATGGCGAGCAAGTTCGTCGACGAAGATGAAGTATCTAGTGCAAGAGGTGTAAAAGGTGTAGAGCATGTTCGATTCGACGCAGGCTCTGGATCAGCTTATAAAGATAATTTTAACAGTTGGCGCAGCTTCGACGCACTTTGAAGTGGCAATTTATGGAAGAGGGTAAGCCTTGTCAAAGTGACAGTAATGAGATAATGATCAGTGGGGGGACGGATCGATGGGTACACTATCTACGACCGAATGATGGGATGGAGACGAAGCTGACAGGGATGAAGGTCGCAAAATACAATTTTTCGTTAAAGCACATATCGAACGATGAAGAGGACATGGTATCTTCGAAAGCAAAGAGGTAAATCCACGGACTATGGAGGTGGCACCTCGTATAGTACATCAGCAAAACCCTAGACCTTGAACGTATTTGCTGTCCAACTTGGTCGAGTCATTTGCATGTTTCAGCAGGTAGTCTTGAACTTGTTCACACTGTGAGTAGTACAGCTCATAAAGTATGCTTTCCAGGAAATCACAATGACAAGCACTAGCCAAAGCGCGTATAGAAATATCTAATCAAACCATCCATGACAAATGCTTAGCTTACACATTGCTACCTGTACAGTTGTGCCAGAGTGTATACCCTCGCTCTCACTAGAGCAACCCGAGACGTTCGACATAGCCTAGTGGGCGATACTTGCAGCGGGCGATGAGCTACCATTTTAACAGTATGAAATCGAGGATTATGGTGTCTTAACTTTCTATTCCTTCATCTCTATTCGACATGAACAATTATGGGTCGCGAAAAGCAGTCGCCAACACTTCGTACAGGACTCTATCGTCTATGCGGTGATATTTAAAACTGAACGCAGACTTTATGGGGCAGGCAAATGTGATTTCTTTCGATCCGGGAGTTTCAGCTTTTGTCAGTATCAACCTACCAAAAGATCGACTGTTTAACGTTGGAAGCGCCAAGCTGCATCCTATGACTTCGGCCCTGCACTTCGTCGCCATACTCAACGAATACACAACTGACCTGACACCTAGGATCTGGACGCATCGTACGCTATAGATCGAGGCCTTCTTCCGTTTTGTTAGTACGTTGTCTCTTCCGATGGGATAGGTAGCTACAGTGGCCAATATTCCCCAAGAGAGTCTCATGACTACGACACAGATCCACGATCTGGCTCTGCAACTTCGCAACCTGATTAGTTAACGAGCTTGTTGCCCGCTCCTGATCCAGTTCAAATTGCATCTTCCTTGCTCTCTCATCCGATTGAGTGAGGCGCATCTTCTGGAGTGCAGACTCCAGGCTATGACGTGCTCTGCGCTCATTGTCGAGGCGGTGACTCAGGTGTCGCACCTTGCGATCACAATTTTCGACATCCAGAAGGCATGCAATACCTTGCTTTTTTTCCGCAGACGATCCGGCCGGTAGACTCGCTGAGTGTTTCGCGGTATCTTGTTGATCGAGTGTCGTACCGCTACGAGGACAAGGGACGTCGAACGAGGCGCTTCGATCACTGAGTTGGATATCCGTCTTCAACATGTGCATGGTTGCCTTCGGGTTGTGTTCTAACAGGCCTTGTCGCTTATTACGACAAGAGTCACCTTGTCCTGGCAAATTGGCGACACAGTACTGGCGCCCATCGCGCTCGTACAGGCGTTGCAAACTTGAAATAGCCTGTCGCATCTCATCAGATATGCGAGAGCTCCAGTAACGATCCTTACAGAGGTAAGCTTCTCTCGGTGCGTGCTGGGCATTTGGTGCGCAACACGGGCAAACGTTTCCCCACGAGAGGCAAGGCAGGTTGGCCGCTTTCGACAATCGGTGTAGCCGATAGCGACCTCCGACTGGAGTGCGAGTCTCAAACTTTAGGCGATTTGCTTCAAGCTTTGCTAGCCACTTGCTCAGTCCCATCAGTTCAACATTAGTGATGAAAGCGGTCCAAGCTTGGACCAGAGCGTCACCGTTCTGGTTATGATGACCGCTGAACCATCGATGTTTAAAAAAAACATCGATAAAAAAACACGCAGCGGTGTCAGAATCCCACCCGCTTCGAAGATGATGAATCTTTACTGAATCAAACAATCGAAGTTGAAAATGCTCGGTGGACAGTCCCGTCCACCGAGCGATCTTATGCTGAGGTGGCATCCAAGGCTTTGTCTCAGGGAGAAGTGTGGGCTCGCCCTGTATTTTGCCTGCGATAGTAACGGCGCTACGCTCTCTACTCTCGTTACGATCGTACTGACAATGACGACGATCAAATTCGTCATTGTCTTTTCCAGTTCGATCACTCGCACCGCTATCACAATGCTCAGCACGCTTTCGCGATGGGGAGCAGTCTGAAGTCTTCGAAATGTCTTCGGCATCAGACCACCAGTCGGAATTGCTGAAAACATCGACCAGGCTATCATTGGATTGTTTGACTTTACGGGTCGCCATACTAGACCCATCCACAGAAGCGAGTGCAGCTTTGGCTGATTCAAAGGTCTTATCGAGTGATTTTAAGTCAGATTCATCATCTGAATCACCAGAATAACAGACCTCAGCTTCAGAATCATCATCGTCCCATGGCAAAGCACCACGTGAGTATTCACCGTTGAACATTGACGTCTGGTGTAAGCCAGAAGCAGACGAACGATCTCTTGCTGTTTCAGACACCGAGGTCTCAGTGGCGGCTGCACATAGTCGCACATCCGCGCTTTGAGAGGTATTCACCGTGCCGCGCATGGAAATACTGGTAGTTAGTCGATGGAGAATGTAAAAATGAAGGAGTCTAACGAACAAGCGCTTCGATTTTCCAGAGCTACCTAACGGTGATCACCAATGCCAATCATCGATAAACGTGCGACGGTTGTTGAAGGGAGGAATACTAACGGTAGGAGCCCGTAACATGACATCATCAGTTGGTTATTTTTAATGTCGTTGGGATATGGATTTTGTAGATAACGTTCAACAGAGATTTAATCACACACTTCTTCCGATTGTGATAGCCCTTCAGCCTAAATCAATATTCGCACACCTGTCACTAAGATAGGGAGGGGAGGGGAGCAAGCTCTGGAGCTCGTCCTTTGATATAAAGAATCCAGTTCGGAGAACTGAATCGAGTTGCAAAACACTATAAGACAGGAGTCAGTGAAGAAGGAGTAGTATATTGCTATTAATGCCTGTATTATCAAACCAGTAATGCATACTCAAGCAACGCGATCAGCCTTTGCTTATGAGCGTCCAGCATTTGTGTTATGGATTATGTTTGATCGACAATAAGCCAATCACGTGCGTGCATCACAATCGTGACCTCGCCAAAGAGCGACTTTGAATCGACCTATGCAGCTCATTCCTCTTTTAAGAGTCACAAATGCCGCCGAACATTTCAAACTACAGAAGAGTGTGCAAGCTGTTCTCTCTATAAGCAAGTAAGATAGGAGACACGTCAAAATTCGGCCATTCGAGTGGGGACCCTCTTTATATGACTCACTACCCCAACTTCTGCTGCTTTAAAGTAACACGTGACCTATGATGTGACAATGGTTCTAGCCAAAGATTTCCAGAACCTCAAACCGATTTTGCAACGTCATAAGACCTCAGACGTGATCTAAGGAAAAGACGTACGGCATGTCATAATATACCGTGGTCTTTTCCCGCCTAACGTGAATTCCACCTACCAGCCGCTCGATGCAATTACGCAACAAAATCATGATTCAAATATGTGCACGTACACATATGTTAATAAATATCATCCGATCGTTGAACACTTGCTACAAGAACTTCATTTGTGACGGCAATGGATCTCTTTGAAACAAATGTGGAACGTATTACTTAATGTCCTAGAAGCCATTGAGTTTGCAGCTGAGAGCTGGAACAGTAGTGGTGGAGTATTCATTCGAAGTTTGTGGATCAAGAGTGACATCATCGAGGCGCCACAGATTGCGAATTAGCGTGCACATGTGATTATTAAAAGTCCATCTTCGCCTTCCAACAGGACTGCTGCGGCCTGGCTGATATGATTGAATTTCTAGGAGTAACTTTTGGCGTGTTAGATTATGAATGTGACCGAGGACCACGAGCAAATTTGCGAAGATCAAGAGGCTCTAATTTAAGCAGAAGCGGAGCCCGCGGAAGTCGAAAGCGACGAAGATCAAGCGCCTGTCAGTACAAAAGAAGCACTAAAGTGCTGCCTGCTTTTGCGCTTGTACTTTGTACGCTCATATAGAGACACGCGTATCGTTCAGTTAGATGGTAAGATACCATCAGGCATCCGTAAGAACCGGCACGCTAGAGCGAAACAGCTCGACACGAGAGACTTCATGTAGTAAACAAACGCTGCAAATCGTTACATACAGGGACATGTACTGTAGAGTTACTTAAATGCCCCGATATTCAATTCTTTATTTCCTAGAAGACCATGCAACTAATTTCTTTCATATTCTCGATACGAGACTTTTAATAACGCTGGAAAAACTGGGCACAAAGTTGTCTCTTATAGAGAGTGGCGAGTGTAGTACGCATAAGGTATACCTTAACCGCATTATTTACAGGCAGACACACAAATAAGTGCGACTTAAAGGCTCGGTATTCAGCATGTGCACATTCACTAATAGCTTCACCTTTCGGGCTTGCAACCACTATATTCTTCCTCTTTATTCGAACAATGAGTGTCGGGACTGCTGAATTTTCCAAATACGCACATAATAGGTATAGCAAAAGAATCGTTTTTAGAAGTAACTGGAAGATGGCCGTATGTAGTTAAGAGGCGCTCTGACTGAATAAGTCATTCAGGTTCCAGCTCAGCAGATACATGCTCCCGCCCAGTCGGAGATCCATTCCAAGGTTTTTAGGTGGGTTTACAAGAGAGTGATCGTTCGGCAGCATACCCATTGCATGGTTTCATCTCAATTGACCTGCCTGATTTCTCGATATTGCACTCTTCCGCCCACAAATAGGACGCACACCCATCGAATTACCACGCGATCAGCGTGTGCGTAATTACCCGCACACAACTTTATCTTTACAACATCGTTTGGCAGGCAGTCAAAAGTGGTCCAAATCGTGTTTGTTGCCAGCGCTACCAACGGCAAGTTGCCGAAGCGAAATATAATTACGTAGGGACGGAAAACTCACTCAGTCAGACGCTTCTTCTTAGGCACTTCTCTACGGTACCAAATCTGTTGTATGACTGAAACGGTAATCAAGCGATCTTGATAGCATGTTCAAAAATATCCGGTGTTGAACGCAGCCACATTTTTTTCTTTTTCGGCCGGTTTTCAACATTCCCGACTGTACAAAGGAGGATTTGAAAGCTAGTGTAGAATCGTAGGAGGGAGAATCGTTTTCGCCCCTGACCCAAACTCCGGCCGACCAAGAGAAAATTGGACGACGATATTATACAAATCTCAGTTTTATCCATCATAAAGTTAACTCACACTTTATGTAGACGCAGATTTGGTAGATCAACACCTTATCATGTGTAGCAAGATAGCATGTCCTCAGGGATCAGATTAGCCAGGTTTATCTGTACACGCAAGTCCGCTGGATCATGAACAGTCACACTAGCCGTTTAAAGCGAAGCTATGCTCAACGTAAACACTGTGCTTTGTATTTTGTTGCCTCGAACTCAAGTCGCAGATGGCGCCTGGATGCTGCTACAAATGTTCGAGCTGAGCTGCATATTAATAAAGTAAACGCAGGATGGCGTACTGACGCTACTAAGCTACAGAGATGGCACTCAGCACCTTCTCTCACCCTTGCCAAACGACCACTTGGCTGCGTTGGACGAGCGTAATCATCGCCCTTTCAAATGATCTCAACGTCAATCACAGTGGTGGCCGACAACAATGACGAATCCTCACCAGCACTTGGTCCAGTCGCTCTCACAACCTTTAGGAGGCGTCCGCCGTCGTCACCATCATCTTATACGCCCCGTAGTGTCGATCAGCTGCATACATCAAATGGTTTCGTTCAGTGTCCAGCGTATCATCTTTAGTCCACTCGTAACAGAGCACGTGCTGCCTTCTTCTTTAACGCGCATACTTGTAAACAGTCCAGGCTATGCCGCCACCACACCCATGACCCTCATTTCTGCTTCGCATTGGTCTTCTGCAATAACTCTGCTTATTGTGCACTACCGTGTTCTCAGATAGACCCGAATAGCCGCGAATGGATCATTCTGACCCATTCACGGTTCTCCAAACTCGTACACATCCGCCCGGCCTTCAGCTGGCTCAACTCGAATACCGCCAGCTTCTGGCGCCGCCGCCTGCTCAATTGCCCTCCTTTTTTCTCCTTTTTCCATCGCCAACCTCTCTTCATCATCAGCTTAGAACGGCAAAGTCTGCAGCTCGCCCACGTCGGCAACAAGAACGGCGTGTGTGCCAGTTTGTCTCTGCTGCTTGTGTCCTCCGTCACACGCGACACCATGCCTTCATTGCACATAAACGCGATGCGCCGTCTTAGACGCGAGCGTTAGCCACGGCTCAAACTCTGTGCTTTCGTCTTGGACTCGTCACCGTTGACTTAACTGCCTGCAAGCACGTCCAAGCGGTCATCGTCGTCAGCGCCCGCGGCGCCGATTAGCCTCTTGTTTTCTACACTCTACGAAGGCATTAGTGTGCGCGGCTACGTCGTGTATATGTATCCGCCATGCGAGTCTTCCAAATGGAACGGAAGACGAGACGACCAAGTGCTGTGCTAGAGGGTTCCAGAGGCTTTAGCCCAAGCTTGTTAAATCAGCCCCACTATACAGCTAACAGAGCCATATTTTCATAAAGCCTGGCACGCGTCGCTTCTGTCGGTTTGCTGTCAAAAATATTCCTGACCATGTCGTATACATAAACACGTCAGCAAAATACTTCAGCCGCGTGTTAAGCATGTGCTTTACAGGTGTAAGGTCCGTATCTGTCCTTAGAAGGAATGCTACCCGTCCAAAGTCATCAGGAGACCATTATGAAGCCAATGAGGCAACAATTTCGATGTATGGGCCGCTGTAACAATGTGCTCTGGGTGCAATGCGGAAGGTACTTAAAAGCCGGACTGCACCCTAACAAGCAAAGCCCTCTAAAACACAAGACAAGGCGAGATACATCACGCAACATCGACTACGCAACGTACCTTCAGATCGCTGATATACTCGTCAGCCTGCGCTTGTCTACTACGAATAGCACAGTACAGCTCATCCGTGAATTCTTGAACGTCAAGATCCGGGTTTGACTACTCATAATTTGTTCCACTACCGCAAATGCAGAAATTCGGTCGTCTTAACCCTTCCGCTCGGCAGATTTATGACCACATCGAGGCCTTTTCTCCATAGGCGTGTAGCACTGGTCTTACGTGCGATGAGATCCTCGTGCAAAGAAGATATTTTAGCCTCACACCGAGCACAATGCTCTTCCATTGCCACGTTACATCGTATCACGGCCTCGAGACGCTTGTCGATCCCTCACTGCGAACCCGCCCCTAGTTTCGCTTCGTTCCTACGCGCTATAGCCCTGCGCTATAGCCCTGCGCTATAGCCCCCGTGAGTACTGAAAAATATGCGTAAGAACTTGTCCACCCGAAGCAACTTCAGTGCGTGGTTTAGATTCCAGTATGTGCTGCCGTCAGCTCCAGACTTTCACAGCTGGGCGAAACTTCTCACCACCAATCGTCCAGTGGACCACAGAGCTCGACCACGAGAATTAAAAACCTGGAAATCAGACTGAGACTGCTCCAACAGACACAGGTGGTAACTCGTATGACTGTCATTAAGGTTGTGCGTCTGCGATGGCACTCGAGCCTTGAGATCGCGCTTTATTTGAGGGGACAAACGTCTTTAAAGTAGGGTGGTAAGCACAGGGCATTGTGATGGAAGAATCAGCAGTGGGTGGTATGTAGAGTGCGTAATAACCACTAGTGTCGATTATGGCAACGTGTCGATGGGTCAGTTCTTTTCTGAAAGGTGAATGAGCTTTTGCCTTGCTGGTGATTTTTTTATGGTTCTGTGAATGATGTTTGAGCACATACCCCCTCGATGGCTCACATGCGCGACATGCAATCGTTGCATGTAGATCGGGGTAGTAGAGCTTTGCATTGGACGTCCCTTCGTGTAACGTGGACGATAATAATGGAGAGCTTGGAAATTGAGTAGATAAAACTGGAGATAGACTTGAGCTCTCTCAATGTCATTGATAGATCTACTGTGCGAGGATATGTGGCGCGATATTAGTGCAAAGACTTGTATGGAGCGACATGTGAGCAGAAACGTGTCGAGCTGGATGGAAAAACAGCGTCGTGTGACTAGCTTACATGGAGACGAAGTTTTGTGTCGATACATCGACTGGTTTTAGGGAGTTTGGGGAGCTTATAAAGCAATCAACAAGGCAGATGATCGATTCACGAGATGGTGCCATTGCTTGCAAAGGAGAGAGAGAGACCGTGTGGCTACGATATCAAGATCAAGCGCCACGTGGACCATGTATTCTAGTCGCTGCCCCTCGCCCAGCGGTTACGAAACGAAGGGTGCAGCATGGTAATGCCGGCCATTTTCTGAGTCTTGGCGAAATCCTTCTCCGATCCTCGGCCGTGTTTATAAGTAACCAGCCTCGTCACTTAAATCTACGCCCCGTCAACGATCGTCAGATACTTTTCAAAGGCAAAGATGCCATCTGGTGTGAACTCTGCGCGCCGTGCCAGTATCTCGTCTGCTGACATTGCGAGGGCCTCGTCCACCTCTTCTTTCTGCAGAACCAACTGTCCATCAAACGTGCAGTCAAAGAGGCCACCCCACACTCGGCTGTGGTCGTCTCCATAGTAAAACGTCGTCAAGTACCGCAGCGGCGTGTCCTTGACCCCCATCTCCTCTTCAGCTTCACGTTCTGCACTCACGTCCATAGATTCGCCAAACTGAACCACTCCACCGGTCATCGGATCTAACATGCCCGGACAATAGTCCTTGATCATTGTCCGGCGCTGGACATAGTACTTGCCACTGATCAAGGTACAATAAGACATTTGAGACATTTTCAGATATTTGTGAGAGAATGAAATCAGTTGAGAGGCCAACCTCGCGTTCTTGATGATGATATAGGATGCACGATGTGGGGAGGTTGTACGCGCGCTATCATATTGTACGATTATTAGGGAGAGTACGCGTCAGATGAAAATAAATTGATCGACCAACGTACCATTACAGCCCGGTCAGCCTTCCCAATGACTCGATTATTTTCATCCACGATACAAACCTATATGTAGAAGAAGGAGATGTGAGTGGAATTTTGGATAGGAGTGATAGCAGTACCACGTTGTCGTCGACCTGTTCCGATGCGCTCAGTGCCATTGCGTTGGAGGCGTGAATTTGTAATTTGTACGATCAAGGCACCGTAATAAAAAAGACTAAACGTCTATTCTCTTGTGTTAATTTGTATTACGATTTTACATGAAGCTATAAAAATTCACAAAGAATATTAGCTGATAGTCGAAAAAAAATAAACTGGAAATTAAAACAATGCCTTATTTTATCGAATAAATAAAAATATCCCAGATAATTAAAAGAAAAAAAACGCCGTGATTATTCACAAAATTAAATCGCCCCACGTCCAAATATACTCAAGTAAGAGTGGTATACGTAAACCGCCACGGTGCTTTGACAGAAAAACTAATCCTATAATAATCATTAATCACACACAATAATACTGATACGTCTGGCTTGCTTTACCTCTTGAACTCTCCACGTCCAGCGTGCTGTCCTTGGATTTTTGACTATTAACAGCAGCAACAGATCCCTGAACAGCACTATATTGTCGCCATCAGCAGTGGTTAGGCCTTCGAGTTAGTAAATGAGAGTCAAACAGATGAAAGAGATTCATCATAGTTTTTTTAGTGGTTAAATATACAGTAACTATGGCGTACGAGTAGGAAGCGAATTCCTATCCCGCAACTATAACAGCAGAACTGTGGTGCGAACAACAACACCACAAAACAGTAGTAATAACAAGAACACTAACAGCAGTCGCAAGAGCAGCGGTATTGAAAGGAGCAGTAGCGGCTGCACATACAACAGGTACACCAGCACTAACAACCGCCACAACAGCAACGACAGCAGTAATAATTATGACATCGGCAGCAGTAGCAGTAGCAACGACATGAACAACTGACACCGCAGAAAACTATGTAATTGATAATAGCATTAAGAATTTATCATAACAATAACAAAACAATATCAAAATTAATATCACCAGTAAATATCAGAAACGGTTGACTACGTTTACGCCTGCAGCTGATATACAAAGATGCATATACATCTTCCCTATGCTATTCGCGCTGATAAAAGGTGGACGGGAGTGCAGCATGCCCACGGCGGAACCCCCTTTGTGGCTCTTCCTACAGGGCGGGGGTCAAACAGACAGCCATACGTTGCGAATTAAAAAAAGACTGAGATTTAAATTTTTGTGTGTATCACTCTAGCTTGAGTATATGAGGACGTGGGACATTTTTAGTTTCGTGATTGAATGGGGCATTGTTTTTTTCTCAAATAATCTGGGGCATATTTTCTATTCGTGATTAAATGGGGCTTTTTTGATGTCCCAAAAAAATACCATAACGTGCAGGAAATTAATGAAATATACTTTTGATTAAGAAATACACAATTGCCGAATAAACAGCAAATATACAATATGAGCAGCGAGATAAATAAATAAAAAGATACAGTATCATGAAGAATTAAACCGATGTACTGAAACGCATACTATACAAATGGCTTGACAGGGCTTATTATTTCTTACTGTGATGTCTGGATAATGTTGGTCATTCGTGTAATATTATGATGATAAACGTGCACACAAAAGGAAAAATTTCAATTTACCAGGGATTAGGCGGCTCTTAACAGCTTTCGACAGGTGGGCAAGATCCGTGGCACACTTATCGTTTAATCTGCATAAGACCGGAACAAAAGCTGACCAGAGTGAAGATTTTACCGTTAAAATGGGGAGCAAGTTATGGAGGTCGCCTTTGATACAAGCAATGCGGTCCAAGGAACTATAACAAGTTCTGTGTATCCACGCTCCATTTTAATCAGTAGAGGGCTTGAATATGGATTGTGTTTTTGTATGGTTTATAAACAAAGTGCTGGTAGGTCATTTTGTGTCAAATTGTTGTTATTGTCGATGTTCTGAAGCTAGAATGTTAGAAAAAGTAGATAAAGAGTGATCCTGCTCGGAAACGCCGTCAATCACAAATGCGGTCGCTGACAAATCATATTTTCGCTGATAGAAAATTAAAAACCCAGGAGCTCCTACTGCTACCGAGCAATTCGTGACCATTATCAATTACCATTTCAAGTAATTCAGAACAAATAACTTCTCACTTACTGATTGCAGAAACTGTAAGACATTATCCGCCCCGGTGTCAAGTATTGCTTGAAATCTCTCTGTCTGGGCTTCATTATTTTTTAGCTAATCACGTGCGGGCAATGGTGCGCGTGTGAACATTACACACTTCGCAGTAGCAACTCGCGACCTAATCAATGAGTGAAAACTATGAGGACGGACGGGCTACATCTTCCTTATTACGATGTGTAATGTACACCTTGCGTCATTTATGGACGCAAACACATACAGATAAGTGCGATTTAAAGTGTTCGGCATTCACCTTGCGCACAGTCTGTAATAGCTCCACGCTTCTGGCTAGCAATCATCTGTTTGCAAGAAGCACGTAGGCCTTTTCACATTAACTCGTTTCTGGATATATTCTTGTCCTTGCAATCCTGTGGCGAATGACTCAAAAACACAGCAACGTACAAATGCTTCTGAGTGTACGACGAATGGATCATTTTTCGAAAAGCCTCTAGTATCGAGCGCTGGTCCACCAAAAAGCCATACAACTTTGAGCCAGTAATGGTGTGCAGCTTATCAAATAAATCATGTTCGACTAATGTGCAAACGTGCTGTTTCCTATCCACAATATAGTCCGGATCAATGAGCAGTCGCGCATCATCACTCAGCCATATTACGATACCAAAAACATGTGAGCATAAAAATACGATAAACCTTCATTCGCAGCCCAAAATCGGTGTCGGGACTCGAATCGACTTGTACTTGATACCAGAGGGCTGGGGTAGTATACCATCCCCAAAAAATGCAGCGCTTTAGACATAATTAGGTACCAGGATACGAAAGTGAGCTATGAAGGCATCGTCCAAGTACTGATGTAAAGCGTTGGCATCCAACATGCTCGATGTCATTCGATGTCTATGTCAATGTTCACTTTAATGTCTCGCGTCGTAGAGTTTGGTCTCGAGGCGAATGCTGCCGATAGGCGCCTTGCCTGGCAAAATCGATAAATGTATTTTTGTTTACTCATTTATCGTTCGACAGAACACGAATGTTTCATAAAGAATTGATAGTCACAAGCGCTACTGAATTTTTTCATGCCATACGCAAATTTTTCGCTTTGGTTTACTTTTTATTCTCCAAGCTCATGGTTTTTAGCATGTTTTCTAAAGTTTGACTTTTCACGTCTTCATTCAACGTTGATTTTTTTAATCCCGTCTTATTTAGCAAATTATGTATCTCCCCTATGAATAAGTAGATTAGGATGGAGGATGGATAGGATAAACTTTATAGTCCTTTGATGAAGCTACCGGCCAACACAACCACAATTACATAACTACGTATTCTATCTGAAAAATTGAGCGCAAGTTCATTACTCATCCAAATACCCATGGACGCGGCTTGGCAGTGCCTACTACCCGAACATGTACCCATATATACATGGGTAGATAGTGTGTACGGGTACTTGTGGAGATCTGTGAATAGTTTCCTCTACCTTATAACTCAAATACACAACTCAAAGAGACAAGCCTTTTCGTAGTACAAGATGTTTGAACTTGTGGCAGGCATTGATAATAATCGCGAGGCAGCATGTGACGTAATACAGTATTTGCTGGACGAAAACGTCGTATATGCGCAATTTCTTTGAGTTACTCAAAGTGTGCGCAAAATTTTCAAACAAAAGCCCTATTATCTTTCTGCTTCACGCAAAGTTCATGATGTGATGTTCTACATGTTGTAGCATGTTTACAAAGTAGTTATCTGACAGTATTCCACATTTGCAGTACAGCGTCCGTGATTCAATATTTCAACTGTCCTTGTCTTTTCCATCTTGTTCACGAGTGCTATTCCTACCGACAAACGTATCCATGCCATGTAGACCACCACCTAAACGAACTACCACGTCATATAAAGGTACAGGCAAAAGTCGTGAAACAGCGGGAGCCCACGACAGAGCTATCCCTCTCCAACCCGAAGCACATGATACGACCAAATTGTCGCCCCGTCGCATAGCACGATAAATCGTGTCAGCCACCGTGGACTCTGCAAGCATTGGAATACAAAAGCGCGATATCTTCAACGCCCAGTCGTCCGCAGCCAAGACGCCGGCAAACATGTTGGTGTCCACCGCAGCAGGACAGACCAACAGCGTCCGAATCGAGGTGATATTATCACGCCACAGCTCCAAGCGGACTATAAAAGGCAGCACCACAACCATAAGTTCTCAGAGTTTAGATGTCCACTGCAACCTGCTACGTGTGTACTCAACGCACGAGCTTCGTGGAAAGCATTGACCGCAGCCTTGCTAGCGCAATAGTCTGTTAATCTTGCGCTGCTCGTCATGCCCATCACGGACGACACCGTCACAAGTAGTGCCTCAGACGCCTTCTTCATCGACGGCATGGCAATTTTCACGGTCCAGAAGTGTGCGAGCGTATTCACTGCGAACGTCTTTTGAATTTGCCTGGGCGTCAAGTGTTCCAGTGATCGTCCCATCACCACTCCTAAAGAGAAAAGCACATGTCGAATAATCGCCACGTCAACTCGAAGGAGTCAACTGAAGGGCTGATTTAAAAACCTATAGCACACTATTTTCGCACCGGCGTTGTTCACTAATACACCAATGTGCTTTGGCGCAACATCGTGAACCACAAGATCCATGCACGCACTCACAGCTCTATGAACACATATACAAAGAAACAACCGAGAAAAAGCGCAACACATACGGCCATTGTAGCGGCAGTAGTACACACAGTAGTAGTTAGAGGTCGAACCACATCATCAGTCGTCTCTGCTGCTCCTCATTTGCACACTATTAATTAAACAAAATCAGTTCCCACCCGAAATCAGCGACATCGCACTCGTACACAAACACGTTTTGTGTCAGTTGGTGGCGCTCCTGTTTCGACTGTTCTAGCTCCATCTGTAGCTCCTGGAGCCCCTTCTTATCGATATCAAGCAAGACTAGCGTCACACAACGAGTCTCGCAAAAGACCTTTTGCGCCAGTCGCCGTCCAATGCCATTGGCAGCGCCCGTAATGACGACAACTTTATCATCCAATGAAAACTCGCGTCTGCCCCAACTCCCTCGCACACGAGCCTCGGGCCACCGCCACAACAACAACAGCAGCACGAGCACAGACGCGACCGCCGTGACGAGCAGCTCCATATGTTTCTGCGAGCCTCAATTGAGTGAGCGGCGGGTTCTTTTTTTTCCCATCCAATCATCGAGCGGGCAAGCGCGTTCCAGTACCTCGCACATTCGCACAACCTAACGCCAACCTGGTTACAAAAACGACAAGACGTATATCTTTTTCGCCAATCACAATACGACCACAGGCCCGCGGACCCGTCCAACCACGTACCACACAACTAGCCACCTGAACCCAAGCCACTATCCGACCGATACACGACCAACCAACCAACGGAACAAAAAAGGGATGCCATGCACGATCAAGATCCGCCTTGTTGAAGCGCGTGATATGTCTGTGGAGGACCGCACGAGTAAGTTGGCGGACGCGTACGTGTGCATCACCTTTGCGAGCTTTGAGGCCAAATCGTCCGTAATAAAGAAGACGTTGAACCCCAAATGGGACGAGGAATTCCGCTTTGACGTTGCCGATGACTCGGTGCTACAGAGTCAACCGATCGAGTTCAAGCTGATGGATCACGACGTGTATACAACGGATGCGACGGTAGGGATTGTATACGTCGACCTCAACTGTTTGTTGATGCGAGACGGCCACGTGATCCAAGGCTGGTTTCCAGTATACGACACGCTCCTTGGGGTGCGTTGTGAACTAAATGTAGTGATTCGGCTTCAGTACTTTGGAGACGTGAATCCCTTCCGAGAATCCTCGGCGGGTGTCCAGTTCTTCGGACTGTCGACTTTAGACCCGAGTTTGTATCGGATCGAGAGCATGCTCGGCTTTGTCGAGGAGCTTGTGGTGCATGCAGATCCAGAGTATTCATGGAGTGATAATTTTCGCACATCGAGAAGGAGCAATGAACATCGGCAGTTGCTACTGTATAAGTTATCGTCTCAAGTGGCGACGCTCGTGGGCAAAAAAGCGCTGGAGTTGGGAGGAAATGCCGTGTTGGCGTACAAACAATTTTTCGATGTTGAAGGAGATAGCGGCTTAGTAGCGCGTGCGTGCGGCACTGCTTGCTGCATTACGATTATGGGAAAGAACGAGGGAATGAGCTTGGACGAAGGTGGTAGCATTGGTCAACACAGAACACAAAGTGAGGATGGACACGACACTGAGTCCAAGATAAACATTGGTATCGACAATACCTCTGTTACAGCAGGAGACAGCGTAAACGCTCAGGCGTCTCCACGGTATTATCCACGTCGAGTATTGCTCAAGTCACTTAAAGTGCCAGAAGCGTTCAATATCTCCGCCCACGACGTGAGTTATGAATGCTATTGCTGTGCTCCCTTTGATGGTGTTCAGAGCCGTCTTCTGTGCTATGCGTGTTTTAGGAAGTACAATTAATCACCCTGAAGGTGTTTACTCCTGCAACAAGAATCCGTCTGGCTGGAATCGTCAGTGCGCGCTCCGTAAAATATTTAGGCAAATTAGCCACCAAGCTAGCTGACCAAGAAACACGGGACTCTTGGTGGCTCGAGCTTCGTGAAGAGGCACGGTTGCCAATGGGCGTTGATAGACACGGGATATGGGCAATGTAACTAACGGTATGCGTGTGTACGGAAATGGTAGATCCGGGCTCATGCACAGTCACTGCAATGTGATTTTGTTATTGGATACACAGAATTGTGCACCATCCACGATGACGTGTGTGTTCTTTCAGCCTCGTACGTTTAATTGACTCGGCAAGAGGAATAATTTTGATCACAACGTAACGATGTTTGCCTATGGGTAGTGGAACTGCTGCTGTCATGAAAAATCCTCCAAAAGAGAGGCCAACTTGGCGAGACGTGACTGTAGATTATGGCATTGATGACGATAGCGCTGATGCGCATGAAACATCTTCATCAGTGTTGAACCTGCCTCTACCGGAGTCTTTTGCCTCGCTTGGTCGCCGGAGCCCGTCATTCTCGTTTGCGACGCACCCTCCAGTCGTGCACCGTAGAGTAAAGACAAGGTTTCTTGACTTCTACCTACCAGTATTCTACAGAGGTGCTCTCATTGCTAACACTTTTGTGTTGCTACCATGCAGGAGAAACCAAATTTCACAATCGTCTTGTCTTTTGTGCCACATCCCATACTCACGATCTCTGGCTCCATTTTCCAAGTACGTGAATAGCACTGTTATTTTTGCAAAGTCATTATTGTTACCATGCCGTTATCTTCACCAATGTGCTTAGTATGCGTGTGGTTCGCTGCGGAGTTTGTGGAAATAAATGGGTTCCAGAAATGATGATTGCATCCATCGAACCTCCTGCTGGCCTCGCCATGATAGGAAGAGGGACTTTTATTCAGGCTCGGGTATGCCGTCAGCGCAGGAAGGGTACTGGTGATGTGAGTGCGACAATCGTGTCGGACGCGTTGCCGTTTCTCGAATACGAGCTGTATCGTCAGGTAAGCTATTGCCTTTCATTTTGCAGATGGAAACACAAAGTGACTTCTTTACGGCTCGTTTTTAGCTTATCGTTAAGATGAAAGTGCTCGGTGTGAATGCCGTATTCGCCTTCGACTCTCAGATTCAAGTTGGCGGGTCTCTTGTTGTCGGCGTAATCACTGGAACTGGCCTCTATCTCCCTGCTCTTCCACCTCCGCCAACGCTTCGAATTGAGCGAAATATTGATGTGGGTATTGCTAAGCATCGTGCTTTGAAAGTTGGTATAATGTAAATACGTTTGTTTGGTCAGGTGAAAGATGATGAAGATCGACGCCTTGTTCAACTACAAGCACAAATTGAGGAAGTTAGCACGTGTAATAAAGACAGGGTACGCTTTCTTTGGAGTGCGAATGCTGTCGAACATCGTTTAACTTTTGTCTTTTGTTGCTTGTTCTGATCGGTACTGCAAATAGCTCCATCGTGACCGCATCTGTACCGTTCAGTCCGAGTACGAGTATTGTGCTGAACGCAGGGATGTGCGCAATAACCAACACCAGCTAAATAATTCGCTGTCATCAGATTTTGACGATGCGAACGGTAAAATTTCAAAGCGTCCTTCGATGAACATTTCTTCTAGATACTCAAGACGAGCGCGCCGAAGACCGCCGGTCCAACACCCACTTTCTGATGACGAATTTTTAGCCCCTAAAAGCACAGATGGGGTTCGCTCTGCCACGCCGGATATCTTGGTCTCGCTTGAAGGCGGCGGTACAACAACGTTGTTAAGTGGCTCGAAAGCACTACAAGCCCCGCACTCTCCGACTCTTCTCGGGAATAAGTCTAAGACACTTAGCTCATCTTCCGAATCAAGTTCAGAGTCGGAGGAAGAATCGTTCATTGATGGTTTTGGCGATTTAAAGGAGACTTTTGTACTGGAGATCGACGATGAGACGGATGAAGACCTGATGTCGGTACTGCTTGAACAGGAGTTGCCAGAGGTGCGTATTTAGTGTGCTTTTTTTGCGTTGTTAAGCAATGGCTTGGCCAATATCGTTCCCTTTTTATTCGTATGCGGCTGAAGGGAATATACATGTGCAACACGGACCGTCTTCCTGGAAATTTCGTACCCGGTGAGAATGTACACTTGGTTGTTTCCATGAAGCGAGTAGAATGGGACGAAGACCGAATGCGTGACACACGCCTCAATGAACTGCTCTCGGCCGTATTTGAGGAGCTGTTTGCAAGGTAAATTACCTTTTGGTTTTGCACTATCTACTGCAATTAATATCTTTGATCTCGAAGCCTCATGTGTTGCTCCTTCTCAGTATGCTGTTTAAAGTAGGCTCGTATGCTCCCTGTGCCATATGTGGCATAAAAACTCGAGTCACAGTGGCGTCTGAAACTATGGTACGTTTCGTAGTTGCATCGTGTGAATCGCCGAGTGTAACTTGTGTCGTTTACTTGCAGCTTGAAGTGGTTTTGAGCGGAATGGCCGTACGGGAGAGTAAGAAGAGAGGTCCACATGATACTATTCTGAGCGATGCCACGATAGCGCTGAAGACAAAAGACGAAGCTCATCAAACTGTGCCGTCGGGCAAGTCCATTTTGACGTTACCGAATGTGCAAGGTGCTCTGCTCTTCGGTGAAGCAGGTCTATCCAACCTCCACATTCAAATGCCGTTCCCGGAACGAAATGTTGCACGTTTGCATGCAAGCAATGCGCTTTCGGTCGACCCCAGCCGTGGTTCGACAGCTGCGCCATACGGCCGTGAGTGGATCGAGTTGACACCGCTTGGATACATTCCTGGCGCCCGCGTGACGCGCTACCTCGGTCGCGTGACACTTCATTTTATTAAGGAAAGCTGGACGGTGCGTGAGAGTGGCGGCTTGGGTGCCTTCTACCATTTGTTTTTAAGCGAGGCGATTGCGATTGTTCGTGCACACGTGTGTTCGTTGGGTGGCAATGCGATGCTGACCTTCCGCCTCGTTCCCATTGAGTCCAGTCAGTTATACCGCAACCAAGTGTACAACATGATCAGCATCACGGGAGACGTCGTAATGATCGAACGTGAAGTGGACACTAATATTGCGTGTCAGCCTAATACGCTGGAACCGAAATGGTCTCATGCTGATGAGAAAAATGCTATGGAGGACGTTCTTGCTGGTGCCAGAATACACGACCGTAGGGACGGCTATTAAACGTCGAACCGCTCGAATCGGTTTAGCAGAAAACGAGGTTCCGAACGGTTTCCAGTTCGCACCAACTCGAAGGCTTTCGTTTTTTTGCAGGTTTTTACTGAGACCGACCGATGGTTTCGATAGCGCGATCGTTGCTAACGCGAAGCTCTCACTTGAGCCCTGGGGGTAACAAGTTTGTTTTTTGCGGATAAGTCGTAGGGCTGGGCAGATCAAGTTTCGTCGAATATTGAGGGCCCTTCGAACTGTTTACAGTTGAACGTTCGGCAGCATCGACTATTCGGTTCGAAGTTTGTAAGCAGCTCGAATATTTGGCTCGAATAATCCGAACAAATAGATTAAAATAAGCCATTATATCAGGAGATGGTCAGCTTAAAAGTGCACTTACAAAGGTAAATAAAACATTTGTTGAACCTCTGATTGAACCTCTGATTGAACCTCTGATTGAACCTCTGATTGAACCTCTGGTTTGGTCAAAGTACATCCCCTCGGTACCTTAAATTTTTTAACTAATAGTTAAGCGATAAAAACCAGGCACTGTTCACACACTCGATTATCGCAAGCATTATTAGGGCTGAATACCCCTCCTGCTACTGTTCCAGCTCTCTACCTGCAAGCCACGCGTGGTACGCACCTGCAACACACTTTTCTGAGAGCAAGACGTCCCATTTTACATAAGAAATCAACATGTCGAAGACTTCCGCCTTAGGCGTAGTCTGTTTTCCTGGCCTAGTCGAGAACTTAGCTCTGATATGAAGCCGAACCCGATAAAAAAGACCAGTGCGGATTGTTTCGAAGTGTTATGGTAAATCAATCTAAATAAAGCTTGATTGCGTAGGTTTTGACAAGCCTTTACCGGTTTGTTTTAGCGCAGCGCAATTGCATCGTATCGATGGGCGTGCGGATGCAGTCTAGTCGTTAAGTGTTTATTTGGGGTGGGAAAAGCAACAACACACGTTTGTTGTAAAGAGGTTGCTAATGTTCCATTAAAGCGATTGTAGAAAAACGCCCTGCGTTATCATTCGTCGTAGGAGCATCTAGGATGCTCAGGCTCGGAGGAAGGGACATATCTGGTGGCGGCATCGCTCACGGCGAATTCGAGCACAAGCGGTGGTGGTGACCGCCACCGTCTTGAGATAGACTTTTTGTGGTGGTTTGGGGGTGGGAATCAGGATTGCTAGAACACAATGGAGGCTAAACGTGTTATCAAAAAGTTTTTAAGGTGCTTTATGAAAAAAGCACCTTAGTCAACCCTCTCTTTCAACGTCTCGTTCAGACAGTGATCCAAGCAGTAGTTGAAACGCCGCTTAAATCGATTAATATACGTGCTTAAAGTTAACATTTGTGGAGCTGGAGATAATATGGATCTATTCGCTAGCCCATCTTCATCAACAAAGCAGAACCTCTGGCTGCATAAATGTATATTCTGTAACTAACCAGTACAAGACCCCCCTACAGTAAAAACTGCCTAAAACGTAATCTAAAGCTCGAATGTCGCCGTAGCATCACGATCGAAGGGCATCTCCACATCTTCATACTAGAGTGTAATTAGGTGCCTACGTCACATGGTAATTTACAAAAGGTAATTATCAAGTGTGAAGATAATGTCAGGACAAACACAATATTCTCACAATATTATCCTAGTAGATTATATTATTTCACATTTGTAATACACAGCTCATTGGCTGATTTACAACTGATAGATCAACCCATAAAGTCAAGTCACGACAGAAGCACGCAATGAGTGGTGAGCACATAGTTACAAGACATGTTTGAATTTAGACATAGTTCAATGAAGTCAAATAGGGATTTATTAACGGGATTAACTATACAATATACAGCTCTACTTTTTACTTTTGCAGAGTTTTCTCAATCCGTACAACACTCATCCTCTGCACGTACGTGTACGTAAGATGATCGGACGCACACACATACTTGTAGTGTAAGTAGTGCAAGGTTTTTTCAGTTAGCTGAATGAGTTGTGCCCCGGTACATCGACTTCCGCTGCAGCCTCCCCAAGGGAATGTACTGTTGATGATGCTTAAGCTCTGGCCAGGTCAGCACCAGCGATTGTGGTGATACAAGTTAAGTGATGGTAAATTTAAAGAGGACAAAGAAGCCTGCTTAGCCAAGTGCGTTCATTGCAAGAGAACTTACAAGGTGAACAAGACGACAAAAAAAACTGATTCGGCACACGAAAGACAACATTCTACCAAGCTAATGGTGTCCGCCAACTACTGACAGCGACGCCCAGCCGATGAAGTGTCCCGATTTTCGCAATTACATCAATTTGATAATCAAGATCATTTGAGGCACTGATTTTGGAATTTCTTCTCTTGACCGATCAATCATTTGCTTCAATCGATAATGAAAGTCTTAGAAAAACGGCGAATGTACTGAATAGCTGCGTCAAAATGTGTATAAGAAAAACGTTGGATTGCTGTATGAATGCCGCGTTGATTCAAAACAGAAGAAAATCGCCCAAGTTTCTCATGAAACCTGGATCAAAGCGTTCTTTTACAGGGGTATTTAGACATCGCTAATTGATGCCCCATTTATGGCTATTACTGTGCATTTTATCGCTGACTGAAATTATATTGCTAATAATCAATTTTGGATACGTGCCTGTTTCTCATACAGGGGTGAATATGGATGAGGTGGTCAAGAATGTATTGGACGAATGGGTATTGTAACAATACCTGAGGGTTCACCATTGACATTGCTGGGAAAAATGGAACGACGCGGAAGCAGATGCAGGTGAACCTGATCTGAAATTGCCCTTATACATGCACTTTCGGTGCTTTGCGCCTGTGCGCATGTGCTGAATGCGGTTAGCGGAAACCGGTTAGCGGTTTAGGACACCATAGAATCAATTAAAGGCAGTATTACTGCCATTATTGATACCACCATCCTACTTGATGCTATTCTTGCAAAATGAAAAAGCTGGAAGAGCATTGCAAGGCGAACAATAGTGAAAACGGCCAAGGTGCTCTAAAAAGATAAAAACGCTATGGACGTTAAGACGCGTTAAATTCTACATACGGCATGTTGGACTGGACTTAAAGCTACGAAAGCCATTAAAAAGATAATAAACAACTTGGCCGATGATGAAGAATCATAAACACAATGACAACAACAACGCGCAGCACGCGATGGTGTTACAGCACTAAAAACTAAAATGTTCAAGCTATCGGTCATAGATTGGGACGCTGTCAAGAATCTTCACGAGTATCTACAAACATCTTAGAGCGCTACGGTAATTGTAGTGGAGATACACATCTCTTAGCCAGAGGAAGAATTACAACTCTGAAGTTTCTTAGTTCTACAGAATTATCTTCCTACTAATTTAAAAAGTGTTTAAAAGTTTTGAAAAATCAACAAAGGCTCAGAGGGCATTTAAGCTTGTAGGACTTTTAGTCCTGGTTCAAGGTACTAACTACGACTCTACGAAATGTAATCAAAAAGTTCTCTTAAGTATACGCCACAAGCTGATAATTAACCTTAACGATCTACTGACTTCATACAAGATACGTATCACTCAAAGATCAAAAGGGGAACTGAACTTTTACATCTAAGTTTGTCTGTGAACACATCATCAGACTACGTAATACTAAGGTTAACCAAATTAGCATAGCAATCTTTAGTATTTTAGTGATTGATGGATTGCATATCAATCTGTCCTCAATGAATCACTGAGCTTTACGACCGCATTAATTATCACAGATAATTATGGGATTGTATATCGCATATACAAGGTATGTCCATGTAGGGCGATGACGGACGTATGATCCCGCCTTAAGAGGTGCTTGAGCCGAAGAGAATCAATCTGTATCAATCCATCCTGAAGCGCTTTGCAAAGCAAACGGCATGAACATCGTTATAACTTGTATGTGACACGATTAAGAGTGATTTCATGCACCCATATAGGGCTGGCCTTTCCCACGAGGACATTTTATGTTGATGAATAAAGAGTTTGTTGTGTTCCTCGCCGTAAATAACATACCGATTCTTTGCGGTAAAGAAGACTCTGATCATGTCCCCTGATTAGGAGATAATGGCACTGTAACTGGGCAATGGTCACTCGTGCTGATTCAGAACTAGTGCAATAAACTGACAATAGTGTAAGTAGTACCGCACGTCACGTCACGTACACCGTACGTGCAGAGCAAGACTAACTGTAACGGGGTGAATCGTTACATAACAATTTATAAGAAATTGTTAATAGAATATAACTATAAGAGTTATATTCTCAGAATATTGTCATAAGGACAATATTCTGTAGCACTTCCAAGTAGTTCCTAATTGGTTGATATAGGCCATTATATCAACCAACGAAGACGCGCCACGACAGACGCACGCAATGAGTGGTGAGCAGATAACTGATTTACACATTTGTATTTAGACATAGTTAGATGAAGATAAATAGTGATTTATTGCAGACATTAACTATTATAAATACAGTTCTACTTTTTACTCTAACCAAGTACTCGCTTCTTCTTACCGTCTTCCTCTGCACGTACGAGTGTACGTGAAGTTACGAGGCACCGCCTTATTCTGTTATCAGAATAAGTAGCTTGTACTGTCACCAGTACAAGCTTCAGGGTGCCCCGTTACACCTGGTAGCACTTCGTAGTCCGTCCAAGGACCGCGTTCACATCCAACATGAATATGTTGGATGATGAAGATGACCAAAGCTTTCACGCTACGCGTGACGGCTACTCCCATTTGAGCGATGTCGAATGGGATGCGGTTGAACGAATGGGTTCGACCATGGGCATCCATGCTGTTAGCGTCATGCTAGAGGCTCTCAATAGAGATGCCCAACATGCTACTATCGCCAAGTTCATTCAAAATGAACTTGACGCAGAACGCGAGAAAGTAGCCTTGCTTCACCAACAAGGTTCTCAACAAGCAGAGTTGTTGAGAGAACAAGGTGCTCAACAGTTTGAACTGTTGAGACAGCAGCAGGCTGCTGCTGGCGGGTCGATGCACTCGCGTCGGCC